AATATAATTAATGTTGTAATTTTCATAATATAAAATATGTTGAAGACTTTGGAGTTGAATATAATTTTTTCTAGAGATTTTGAGTTTTGTTTCTCTATTTTCAAGAGATTTTGGAGAATTTGTTGTAGATGTTTTCAGAACATCTCTAAAGGTTTTTATAAGAGCATTTCCAACAAATTTTTTAAAATGGAGAAAATAGAGATTTTGGGGATTTTGAGCATATTTTTTGGTCCAAGAGATACTCTAAAATGGATAAAGTAGAAGAGAGTGTAAAATTCTATGTACAAACAATCAACCTCACATACAAGAAAGCTAAAATAAAAGAAAACCCTAAAACTCTCTTCAAGAAAATGAGAAAACCCTAACAACTCTCTCAGGCAAGACGAATGTGCTTTCAAAGTTGTAAACTGATCTGTGTAACGAAGAGCCACTGTAACACCCCCGTCCCGCGTGGTCAAAGACGGGAGATGCCACAATTGGAATAAAACTAACATGCTATATAAAACCGAGCGGCTAATAAAATTTACCAAAAGATAATTACATAACCACAAACGGAGATAACGTGTCTCAAAATACAGTCCAAAAAATACCAGCATGTCTACATTAGTCATCAAAAGTTTAACAAAAATATGACTTAATGAGTTATCTTCAATATTGTCATCTCTGAAACTCTCATCCCAAAATCCCTGCTAAGTCATGTACCTGCCGAGGACAAGAAAATCTCGGCTGAGCTTAATGCTCAGTGAACGGACAATAATATAATAAAACAATGAATATGAGATAACAAGTTCAAAAACAATTGATAACGCCAAATGATAATCCAAAAGAAAGTCAAAATGCCCAAAAGCATATCAAGAGTCCGAAAACCAAACTACATCACGAGGATGCGTTGTTCCCAAAGGATGATCAGTCCATTCAGGCACAAGTGAGGAAAGGGGTGTGAGCACAACACARCAATCCTCTCCGTGAATTTAACCACGGCCATAATCAATATCCGATAACGGTTCCTAGGATCGATCCATACGCCCTCTATTCGACCGGTACATAATCAAGTCCACTTTTAAGGACTATAAAAATAAGGACGCCATGATCGTTTTAGTCACCATGGAAACATCTCAATACTGGTGCTCCAGTTATTGAGTCTATAATAAAATATTCCACAAATGAAGCAATAAAACAATTCAAGTGATCAAAATGATCCATATTCCGAATAAAATATAAGTCGTAATTCTAAAGGAAACAAAGTTCAATAACATTTGATAAGCATAAAGGAAATTCA